TACTGGGGCTCGAAAGAGACACAGCTTGTGGCCGCGGGACTTGAATCCGTCACATCCAGGCACGTGATCATTTTCAGGCGGTCAGGCGATCACGCAGAACGCGCGCACGCCGCGGATTTTTTCCACCGCGGGACAGAACGCACGCGGATCGGCCTTTGCCGAGACGTGGGAAGGCTGACACGATCATATGACTACATGTTGTGACTGGCTCGGAAGGAGTTGCTCTCGGCTTCGACGATCCCGGTCATCTGAACGTTGCGCTATTCGATAGGAGTCCACATCATATTTTGGGGGTGCAGATGCGGTGTGTGGCGGCGCTCAGATTGTCTAGCACCTTACGCTCGCGCCTCGTGGGCGGATCCTAAGCGAGGCGATGGCGGGCAAGTGCTTGGGAATTTCTCTAGAGTCCCGCTGTTTCGTACGCATCCGGGCGTGTCCGGCTACGCCTTGTCCTGTCCTCTTTCCGTTCTGTGCGTCTTGCTGTTATGCTGCACCCATTGCTTGCTGTCTAGAGCAGTCTGGCTATCGGGGGAGTGCGAATACACGGATCCGGTCCGTGCTTCCTCGCTTCGGTGGACGTGCTTCTAGGATGTTCTGATAGGCATCTGATCGTTGGTGCGCCTGTCGTCTTTTGGTCGTGAGATCGTCGTTTCTAACTTCGGCTTCTAGGCAACGTGTCCGCACGCCCGGTTGGGCATGTCTGCCTAGAAAGGTAGAAGTGCGATGGCGCGCGTTGCGGTCCGCGATGGTCGGCCAGGCTTCTTTGCGCGCTCATTTACGCGCGTTCCTGCCACTCGCTCTCCACGTTTTTTTTCGCGGTATGTCGCAGTGTACTCGAGTGATGCAGGATGACCAAGTTGACTGTTGCTTCGTTTTGCATAGCGCGAATATATCTTGATTTTACTCGGAGTCGCGGGTTCGGGGCAAGCGTGCGGGTAAGTTGTCCCCGCGTTTGAAATTCGTCTGGACTCAGGGGCTGTTCAGTGAGAAAGTCGCGTATACATCATTGTATGCGCAGCCACGAATCAATCAGCGTGGCTCTTGTGCGGTCGCGTCTTCTTTTACGTCGCCGTGCAGTCCGCGGTCCTCGTCGCGCGCCGAGCATTGCAAGAAGACGCCGCTGCCGACCCTGCACGTCATTGTATACAGATGGCTCGCTTTGAGTTGGTCGACGGTCGACGATTGGTGCGTTCAAGTTGGCCTGTATGGGTAAGTTCGTACTTTCCGGTCAGCCGAGCGGCGCAGATGGACCTGCGGCTACTTCCGCTGTGAGCTGATGTGCATATAAAGCCCTCCTTGTCGCGTCCGCCCTTCTGCAGGCAGCCCCTGGACATCCTTCTCTACGACCATCATGAACTTTATTGAAGTCGCCGGCGGCCATGGCTGGCTGTATGAGGCAACTTTTGTTTGGAGCGCGGGTGCGGCGCCACACCGACTTCTATCGTCCGGCTTAGCGTACTGATTGTCTTGCGCAGAGGCCGCCTTTCGCGCGTGGATGCGCGAGGTGCTTTTTCCTATCGCCGAGGGCATCGACGCGAACGGTACACCTTTGACAGGACCGTCGCTGCACGCGCACGGGCCGGGCCAGTACGCCCTCCCGCACTCTCTCCAGTTCCTGGAGGAAGTTGTTCCTGTCGACGGGTCGCGTTGCGACCACCATGTAATTTTTAACGGCGAGCAGATTGGGATCACCACCAACTCGTGCGTCTTGTTGGCGTTCTTGGTATGCGGCAATTCTGACCGTTCTGCAGAGACGTCTGGCAGCCGGCTGTCAATGGGTACGCCAATGGTCGGCGCATATCTGTGCGCACGCTACAACACGCTCACGCAAATCTGTGGCACTTCTTCGCCCTGCTCGGGCGAATTCACGTTCAGCACCCCCAGTGGAACCCCTTGAGGGTCCTGACGGCCGCTCTTCCCAGTCTCCCTACAAGGGAGAACCGGTATACCTGGGCGCCCCTCATCTACCCGGTCGTCAGCCCTTGGAACGTGTGAGATAGGTGCGCATCGGTTTGTGATGTTGTATCTTGCCTCAGGCGACTGATTGGTTGCTTACTAGATGATGGCGGGCGCGGTCTTGGGATTAGGCCGGTCGGGGCCCACGCGCTTTTTCATGCTCGTTTTTTACTCTGGTTCACGCTGTACACTGTAGCTTCTTATGATCGATATGTGCCGTTGGAGTGAATGATGCGCCAATTCGAATGCGCCGTGTCGGTCGAATATTTCATTGGTTGTGACGGGTTTCTGACGTGACTCGGGTCGCGGCCGAAGCGCGTCGCGGGGCGCTCGGCTTCAGCGTTGCGGTGACATCACGGTGGTTTGGTCCCCGTGGTGGTTGGTGGTTTATCGTGCACTTTCGGTATATATTCGAGGGCGAGGCCTTGGGTTATTTCCGTCCTTCTCGCACCGTCCGTCTCAGAGGACGCCGATCTTACCAGCGTTCAACTCGTCGATCTTACCAGTCTCGCCATAAGCATGGCTTTATTCTCTCTAGGCGGTCCTCTGGTTGCTCCTCTCAAGACTGCAAGGGCGTCGATCCGCGATATGCCTGCTGAAGTCTTGTCGGAGATTTTCGCGTACGCAAGGGAGAACAATCGACCGCTCGTCACTGAGGGAGGCAATGTACTTACGCCTGGTTGGATGTCTTTCGCTATGGCGCGGCTCTACTACACGGGAACGATATACAACGCGCTAGCGGGGGAGTTCGCCAGGTCCATCGCCATGACTCAGATCCCTACTCGGTTCGCGTTTCTCGTGAACAAGATCGCCGAGCGTCCGATTCACTTCGAGATCTCTCCTTACTCTCCTTACGTCGACGAACAAACATGGTATTTGACGAACGCGCTTTCTGCTGTCAATCTCTGGCAGCAAGGCCTTGCGGTTGCCCCTAGAGTGACAAGCATGTGTATCGGCGTTTGTCATAACTTGAGCAGGTTTTGGTAAGGTCGTTTTTGCGTTGTTGGCTGTCTGCAGAGGCTAACTTCATTTATCAGCGACGCTGAGTTTCCCGATGTGCTGCAATCACTATCCGCGCCGTCTCGCTGGCCCAATCTCGTGAAACTATCCCTCTTCGGCCTCAAAAAGGACCATATCATCCAGTTCGCAAACCACATCAAGGAGGTCGAGCTTGCGTTCGAATACTGTGCAAAGGACTCGGTAGAGCGCGTGACTCCGCTTACTGTCGCGCAGGCGCTCTTCAACAACCAGCACATCGAGTCTCTTTCGATCAGGTTTGATGGTAACGTCAACGGCGCGGATTCGGAAGCTGGTCCTGCAGCAATCGCGCACATGTCGCGCTTAAAGCGCATGAGGTTTTCCGGCTGCGTCGACCTTCAATTTCTCTGCGGCATCTTCTCGTGGGTCAGGCTCGAATCGACATTCGAACTCGTGCAAATCGATATCGCGGTCGAAGAGCATCATCTCGAGTCACACCTTACCGGGTTCTTGGACTCCGTTGGTAAGTGCTTTTATTAGGGTTTTTGCTTCGCTGAAGGCTAACGTCTTCTAGGATGGATGCATAACTCGTGCACGCACTTTCGAGTGGTCGTCGATATGAAACGCGATACGTACGAGCTACATCTCGAGGGTTGGGGACAGCCCGATGTTGAGGTTGCCGCGTCGGAGCGTCCACGCGTCAAGGCGGGCAAACATTTTGTGGAGGGCGATGCTAGGGTCAGCCTTTCGCTGTTTGCGCAGAGCCACAACATCCCGGTCGAAGCCGCCGTTGTGCTGCTGATAGACAAGCTGTCTTCCGGCTATGCGCACGTCTTGTTTGTGGATTTTTCCGACTTCTGCCATGAACCGCCGACGTGTAACTGGAACTGGCTGGGGAAGTTGGACGCGCGTATCGTCGTGCCCTTCAACGAGGTGTATTCGTGCTACCGAAGGCAGACGGAAGAGAACTGCTCTGCACTGTGGGAAATTGTGGTAGCGAGGAGAGGTGCGCGGGCGGAAAGGCAGCCTTGGACTTACTGCGAAGAGGCTGTTGTGTACGACGCTCTTACCCCTTTGGAGCAGAATGAGCTGAAGGACATGACTATTTTGAACTGGGTATCTGGATATCTACGTGATGTTTGAATGTATGTACTTGATAAGAATGCTATGCTTCGTATTGCGTAATTCGTCATTGTCCTGTCCGAGACCGGCGCTGAATCGGGTTTACTCCGTGTACCCCATGCGTAGAAAGCTTCCAACACCGTGCGCACAAAGCACTATTGAGATGCTTTCAGATGCAGCTCGTGCTTTGGTAGTGCCATACACTTTAGAGTCGTCTGGCGGCGCCGTATCTTGTTCCGCGCGTCTCGCGTCTTTCTTTTGCAGGCACCGTGACAGACCGCGACGCGTCAAGCGCGTGTCTCATGTGATCGCGTTTCGGCGCGGCGCGGCGGGTCTGGGTTTTGACCTTCTTACACAGCGTCTATTGTATTGCTGTTGCAGAAGGAACTCGATATATAGTTTCCCAAACTGAAGGGGATGGTGGGTGGAACCGAAACAGCCCCCTTGGAGAGTGCGCTGACGTTCACATCAGGCGAGGCATTGCCACCGTTCGAGTCTTTCTCCTCGCGTCCAACATTTTGCTTGAATTGCCTTTCATCATTCTATAGGTTCGCTACTTTGAACATTAATACTAACCTACCCATGTGATGTTGGTGACGACTCCGGGTATGTGCAGGTCCTCGAGCTCGGGCCGCGGCGGCGGATCAAGTGCCCAGTTGCGTCTTTCGTCTACGTCTGAGAGTAGGTCCATCCATCCACGCTCTTGGTACTTGCCGTCACCCATTGGGTCAGCTCGAAGCATTTGGATCGAGAGATTGAATTCGATGTCGTGGTTCGCTTTAGCGCGGAAAAGCGCGAGGCATTCGGACACGGAACGCGTAGCCGTGCGCCGCAGGGCGTCGGACACGCAGCGTAGATTAATCGACGCAAGGGACGGCAACGCGCCGTCCTTTGCAGTGGACCAGGTCAGCGGCGTGAATATGGCAGCGACAATCTCGCTCTCCCTCTTTCCGAAGTTTGCGCGGGAGCAGCCGTAAGGGTAGTGTCTTTCGACGGTCCAGCCAGTCTTGGTTACAGCCGGGACCGATATGTTGATGGTTCGTATGGTCGAATAGTTGGCGATGGTCGAGAACATGATATCTCGCGCAAAGTCTATCAGCCCAGAAAGTCGTTCGAGTGAGCTGTGAAACTCGAGATGCAAGATGCAAAACCCGGCTATGTTGTCGCGGGGTCTAGTGAAGGCCTCTGTTCCGTGTATCATCAACGCCTCTCCGAAGTAGATGTTGGAACAGTTGCGTTGTTGTAACGGGATGGTGATGATGCGCGAGATGGACTTCATGAGGGGCATGACATGAGGTTCGCCCAAGTGTAGGGTGTTGCCGTTCGGCACCTCGTCGTCGTCGGCTTCCTCGTTGACGCGAAGGTTCATGTGGATCCCTCTGAGGGCAGGGAGTGTCAAGCCGTTTAAGAAGTCGGTCATGTCATGGGGCATCATGCTCACGGACAAGTAAGCCAGTTTGGGTAGCGTGACGGGAGTTAGACGGCGGGGCTCGGTTGTATCGGAATCGGACATTTCGAAGGCTTCGCAATCTATGGAGAGATCCTCGAGACACGGACAAGCGTTGAGGTGTTTGATGAACGTGGGTAAGGCGGGGCAGATTACCTCGGTCAGTGTGAGGCGCTGTAGCCGGGAACCTTCCCACATCGCATAGGAATCTAGTGTCAATTCCCCGATACACTTGAGGGTAGCTAGCCTGAGATCGGGCATCCGAGTGAATGCTTCTTCGAGTGCGCGGCAGAGCGCGTTGTTCTCAAACAAGTCGATATCCAGCTCGCGAAGGTTCGCTGCCGACGCGTTGTCGGGAAAGGCGATCTCTGTGCACGCATCGATCAAAGGGTCGGCCGAGATATCGCATTTGATGCTCTCGATGCGGTGGAGATGTTTTTGAATGACCTCGACTACGCGGCGTAGTCCTTCAGGGAATTCTCTGTCCTTCCGTTGTATGTAGATTCGGAGAGACAGAGGGGCGGATCGCGTGACCGCGTTGCTAAGGAGGAGAGGGGGGTATCGTGGAGATATATACTTCCACATTGCAGGGCGTTGGCAGCGCGCGTTCCAGCTTTTGCGTACCAAACATAAGGTGACGGTATCGTAGGCCCACGGGGCGGCTCTGAACAGTATATCATCGAACACTTCAGGTGTAAGGTCTTCGATTGTGCGGCGCGGAGGCGGCTGCATGGCAGATATGAAAGCGAGGGTTGTGGTGGTATTTGCTCAGATAGAGCTGCGACGTGCGCGGCTACATTCGGCGTGCTCGGTCCGGTCGGAGCCTGACCTGAAACTTCCGTGAGGCGGGCATACTGATCCGGGACGTCGAGGTTTGCCCTCGAGCGTGTCTTGCTTTTCGCGCTCATCGCCCCTCCTCTCATCCCCTCATCAGCATAAGTCGCTGCTTTTCCTGTTTATCTGTCGCGCCAACTCGAACAATGAAGAGAACTGCCGTCCAGCCTCAGTCACCTCGCAAAGTTCGCGTGCTGGAGCATCTTGAGGGTACGCAAATCCGACGGGTGGAATTGGTTGTCTTGTTCATTCTGTTTGTAGCCGCTCACGATCATAGTACATCGTTTGTATCTCTGCAAGAAGGTCTCGAAATCGAGTCCGACTCTATTGGGAAGCCTGCTGCTCTGGGTATGTCGCTGTATATCATACCCCGGCATTTGTCATTCACGCCGGGCGCAGCGTCATCCTCCTGGAGCAGACTGTATTTTGCTACGTACGAAGACTTCTTTCTCTACGCACGACAGCGTGGTGCGTGCTTCTTCTGTCGTGACAAATCTCATTGTTCTGAATTTGCATACAGAACATCCTGCTGTGCGTGCGCTTCGCATGCGTCGGGCAGATAATCCGAGCCCGATGGCTGTTGATGCGCCATTGCCTGTCGTGATGCCCGTGCCTGTCACGTTGCCTCCGGTACCCATTGCTGGCGGTCTCTTTTCTCGAGTTGGCGTGAGCTGTACGTGGAATTTGTTCGGTCGACGTGGTTGTGTTTTCGCGCGCTGACGAGATTTTCTGCAGCATACGAGTCCATGTGCACTCCCGTCTCTCTCCAGGCTCATCCGACACCATTATCTGTCGGTTACAATGGGCTCTTTCATCGTGGTGACTTGCCCAGTCAGTGTTCTGCCGTCGACCGTCAGGCGCTATACTGAATATTTGTTCTGTTGGCACAGACAACGATGCCATGCGCGTTGCGGGGCTTGTGTCCGAGCGCTGCATCTCGCCGATGGCTATGCCGCTGGATCTGACTCCGATTGAGGAGCTCCCGCTGTTGGATAATCGTGGTGCGTATTCTCGCTCGCCTTGCCGCTCTACAGTCGCTGATTCCTTCCTTTCGCATCGGTCCCCATCCTCGTTACTCTTCGGTCTTGTGTCCATCGCGTTCGTCGACTCGCGCACGGGAATATGTTTTGTGTCTTTGCGCACATTTCCTGTCGTTGTGTGCACCGCTCTTGTGTGTATCACCCGTTTGTCTCGCTGTGCGGTCATGACTCGCGGTATTACTGCCTTGTCTTGTCTTGTGCTGGCGCCGTAATCGAATTTTACGTGTTTTGCGTGCACCTGCGGGTCATGTTATCCGTTGCACCCGGTTGTGCGTTCAGACAAAGTTCACGACGTCGTGGAAGACTGGTCTCGTGCGATTGAGGATGGCAGGCAGCATGTGGTGTCGATTGGCATGCTGAACCGTTGGTTCAAGTATGTCAGTACTGTGAGGGATCTGTGTGAGGTAGACCATATCGTCGAGCAGTTGCCTCATCCTGCCAATGCCCCAATGCTGTTGGTTAGCGGCAGTTCGCTTCGCTTGCTTTGTGCAGAGTTCGTTATGTTTCAAAAGCAACACATATCTTTACTCTTCGAACGCCATTGCCTGCGCCGCGGGCAGTCGAGTAATGCGGTGGCCCTGGTACAGCTGCGGGAGCACTTGCAGAGTTGCCGGTGTCCCGGTGAATACTACGTTTTCGCCGAGTTGGGCAGTCAGCGTCGTTTGCAGAAACGTACACGATACGCATCGGGTCATGCACTTGATCCGCAGACCGAGAAGATCAGACGTCGCAGACCGAAAACGGTGCCCGTCGTCGTACCGGCGCCGGAGTTGCCCATACCTTTGTTGCGGGATCCTGATGTTCCCGCTGATCTCTTCCCTGAACAGTATTCCAATGAGCTTCGCGACACTATTATCTTTGAGTGGCAGGCCATGATGGAACCGATAGAGTGGACGAGGAAGACTTGCGCGGTATGTGGGCAGATGCATTTCAGGGACAGGGTTCTTGTGCGCGATGTCCCCGATGAACAGCTGGAGTTGTTACAGGATCATTCAGTGCCGGCGAATCTCATGCCAGTTGCGTATGATTTGAATATCTATCGCTTTGCGCTTCTACATCCCGATGGCGTTATCCTTCCCCGTGCGCGAGGTAGTCTTCAACTGTGCACCAGTTGTTCTTCGTCGCTGAAGCGCCGAAAGATGCCGAAAGATGCCATCGCCAATAAACTGTATTATGCTCATGACAGGCTTCCGCCCGTTGTCAAGTCTGCGTTTGCCAAAGCGACTCTGGCCGACAAGATGTTCATGGCAGGGTGCCGTATGACCAAGATAACCTTTCTCATTGAGAATCCGGAGGATTCTGGTAGGCAACTGCCGCGTCAAGGCGCGAATCGAGGACATTGTGCGTTCATACCTCAGGACTCTGGGGCGTTGACTCGGGTGCTACCGCCCGCACCCGATGATCCATCTCTTGGAATCTGTGTTCTGTTCGTTGGTCGAGGAGTAGCGCCCACGAAAGAGAATCTTGCTACGGTATTGCATCCTTTGTTATGCCAGCTTCAGGTCTTGAGCGTCGTGTGTCCGTTTTTGGCGCAGTCGAATCGGGCATTTCGGGATCGTAACATCATGTACAGCGAAGCCAACCTTCGCGCCATCGGGTCCGCTTTTCCTGATAGCGAGACTGGTTTGGCGTCAAATGTCCAGTTGACTGTTCTCGATTCCGGGTCTGCTGTCGGCGTCCATCATGCTATGCAGAGCGGTTACTCTAATGCTGACCGCGCCGATCTCGTTGTTCCGGCTGGCCAGTCCTTCATCCAGAACGTGGGATACGCAAACGAGACGCAGAGTTCCAAGGCAGCGACGGCTGCTAAGGCACAAGCGCTGGATTGGATCCTCAACAAGAAGCCTTTCGTGCAAGTCACCGATGGAAGTCAACTGTTCTCTGACCGTGATCGAGACGCGCTCACGTTAACTCATCCGCATCTAGATCCGTACGCGTTGGGTCCGTTCTTTCATGAAGATCGTATAGGGCCTAGGCATTTGTCCATGCAGCGCCAGTTGAAGAACATGCTTCTTATGAAGGACGCGCCGTTTGCGGCGGACCCAAACTTCGCCTATGTGTTCTTCAACGCGATCCAACGTATGCAGACCTCGACCGCTGCGACGTTCAGGGTTGCTGAGAACCAGTATGCCTCGTTTACCGACACGCTGATGGAGAATAGGGGCATGCTTGAGGCTTTAGAAGGGAAGTATCGTGCCAATCCCGATGCCCAGCCTACTACTTCAGGAGAACGGAAGCTTGTCAATGCCATGAATCAGTTACGGGTTATGTGCAAAGACGTGATGGGCTCCAATGCGTCCAGGACACGGATGAGGTCGAAGCTTCGCGCACTCTTGAAATCTTTCGGTTGCCCGACGCTGTTTGTCACGTTGAATCCGACCGACGTCCTTTCTTTACAGTTGCACATCCTTTGCGGCGGCAACGCGGACGACTTTTCGCAGATGAACGACTATGAACGTACCAAACAGGTAGTCGAGCATCCCGCTGAAACGGCGATCTGGTTCGATCGTATCATGAAACTGTTCATCAATATAGTACTGCGTCATAACTCGGAAGGTCCCGGGCTCTTCGGGACGTCTGAGGCTTACTTTGGGACTGTAGAAGCGCAGGGACGTGGCTCGCTTCACTGTCATATGTTGCTGTGGTGCAAAGGTAGTCTGTCGCCACAGGACATACGTAACAAGATGCAGTCGGATGAGGCGTTTCGAGATCGCATGTTCGGATGGCTAGAGTGTATCGTGAAATGCGAGTTGCCCGGCATGCAGGAGGTGTTGCGGCAGCGACCAGGAGAGGAGTTGGAGAACCCTCTAGACAAAACGCAAGGGAAACCGGGGCTCCGTATACCGCCTTTGATACCGAATCCCGAGACAATGTCGTCTGAGGAGAGAGCACTATTCGAAGAGCGGTTCCAAGACTTTGTGCATGATCTTGCGTGCGCTTTCAACTGGCATAAGCACCGGGCGACCTGTTGGAAGAAACTGAAGCCCGGTCAGGAGAAGACTGACGCTAATTGTAGGATGCGCATCGATGGGCATACTACCCCATTTACCGAGCTGGACGAAGAGACTGGCGCTATTTTGCTGAGAAGGCTTCATCCCTGGATCAACAATTTCAACGACGTTGTGCTGTTTCTGCTCAGAAGTAACATGGACGTCAAGTATATCGGGTCCGGTCAGGTGGCGAAGGCTCTGGTCTATTATATTACAGACTACATCTCTAAAGGCACGCTTCCGATGCATGTTGGTCTTGCTGCTGTCATCGCCGCCATAAAGAAGATGGAACTCTCTGCTCCTGCGGACTCGGATGAAGTGACGGCAAACGTACAGCGAAGGCGGTTCTTGATCAAGTGCGTGAACGCCATGATGGGACGCGTAGAGTTATCGCATCAGCAGGTCATGAGTTATCTTGTTGGCGGCGGTGACTTCTATTCTAGTCATCAGTTTGCGTCCTTGTATTGGGGAGACATGAGCAAATTCCACTTGCCTCCCGTTCTATCGAGTGGCGAGGATGATGACGTCGAGGAGTATGCCGGAGGCGTTGATGTCACGGTCAATCTACGAGACAATGACATCGTGCCCTCTAGTCAGCTCTTGGATTACAGATTCCGTCCGAGTGGTCACGGCTTCGATGAGATCAGTGTTTGGGAGTTTGCTGGCCTTGTTGAGAAGAGCAAGATCAAACGCAAAACTGATGAAGCTGTCGATCCGCCTGCATCGGCCATGTATGAAGTCGATGATGGCCATGAGGGGGAGCTGTCGGGAATGGCGAGTCGAGCCAAACTGTCGTTCATGGAACCGCATCCGCAAGCCGACACGCATGTCATACATCTCAGAGGGAATGTCCATGTCCCTATTCTTAGCGGGCCTGTCATTCCTCGCTACTCGAGTGAAGATGGCGATGCCTGTGAGAGATTTTGCAGGGCCATGTTAATTCTGTTCAAGCCTTGGAGAGAGCGAGGCGATTTACTTGGAGGTTATGGGACTTGGAAGGCGGCTTATGATGCTCATCGCTTTCCCGATCATCTCTCCCGTACTATCAGGAATATTCACGTCGAACATGAGTGTAAAGAAGCGCGGGACGATCATAGTCGTGCGTGGCGCGAAGGCTTACAGGAAGACTTGTTATCGGGAGCTACAAACGGGCGACTCTATGGTCTCAGCAGCGTGGATCCGGATCTTTTCGAGTTCGCTATGATGTGCGAAACAGCTGACAGTTCTGGACTCGTCTTTCCAGATCGTGACGAGGCCGGTGAAGATCCGGATGTGGACAACAGGCCAAAGGTGCCGTATCTGGGTCACATACCACCGTCTGCAGCGCAATCAGCAAAGATCTTGGAACGCTCCGATATTCTCGCACCTGATGCGGCTATACAGGAACATTTGGCTTCCCAACGCGGAACGCCGGCTATGTCGCTTCAGGCATCGTTTCGTGTGCCCGACCTAGTTAAGATGCGTAAGTTCATGGAGAAATTGCGCAAGTTGAGAAGGCCCATAGCTAAAGCGTCCAATCGACAACGCGAGGCTACTGGCGCATCGTCGCGTGCGCGAAGTTCTCGGGTGACTGTAGAGCGGCTTAAGAAGCCCGTAGAGAAGATCGTGGAGAGACCGCTTGTCCTTGAATCAGCGGATGGTATGGTGAACAGTCTGGATGATGATTCTGACCAGACTGTGCTCGCGCAGATCATCAAAGACTTCGAGATGAAAGATAATGCGGAGCAGCGACTGGTGATGCAAATCTTCGACGACCATCACGAGCGAGGGATGTGCAGAAAAGAGCAGCTCTTGATGTACGTCGCAGGGGTTGGCGGTACTGGAAAGAGTCATGTCATTCGAGCTGTCACGTCGTATCTCGGTAAGCAAGGACATGCGGATTGGATACTTATCGCTGCACCCACCGGCATCGCAGCCGTGCTTGTCGATGGGTACACGATCCATGCCTTGACATACTTGAATGTGGGTGGTAACGGACGAGATGACAACTACTGCGAGTTGAATGCAGAGAAGAAGAAGGCGATCGAGGCGATCTGGAGACGCGTGAGATATCTTATCATTGATGAAGTATCTATGATCTCTGCAACTCAGTTGACGTACATATCTAAGCGCCTCAAAGAGGCTCGTAGTACCTTGCCTGGGGGTGATCTTCCGTTCGGGGGTGTCAACATTGTGGCTACTGGAGACTTTGGTCAGTTGGAGCCAGTCGGGGGAAGGGCACTTTTCCATACCAGTTTAGTTAATCGCCTTGACGAGAGTGCCGGATCAACTGATAGCAAGCAATTCGCTTTGCACGGTGCTTATCTATGGCGCCTGTTCGATAAAGTTGTCGAGTTGAAGAAGGTTGTACGACAGCAAGATGACCCTGAATACGGCGACATGCTGAGTAGAATCAGGGTGGGATCTGCTACAACGTGTGGTCCTGGAGGGGTGATGGAAGGCTCCGATTACCATACGGTTTCGCAACGCACGTTGGACTCCATAAGGGTTGGTGGCGCTGAATCGCTGACCAAATTCCAAGATGCTCCCATCATAGTAGGGGATCGCGTATCCAGAGATGCGTTGAACCTGCGCTTGGTGCATACAAAGGCCATGAGATCTGGGGTGCAGCCCGTCTTCCTGTGCGCCAAGGATCGTCAAACTGGAACAAAGACTCCGCTGTCGGGTCCCTTGGCGAAGGCTGCGATCCTGTTACCGCCGGGGAGAGCGGATACGCTAGGCTGTATGCCATATTTTCCCGGAATGCGCGTCATGATTACTGAGAACTTGGCCATGTGTCACAAGGCCGTCAATGGTCAAGAGGGTGTGTTGCAGAAGGTTGTCACGGAAGAGGGTGCGGATGGCATGCTTCACGCGACTTGCGCGTTTGTAAAAGTCGAGGGCATTGGACAGGTGTATCCTGAGCTTCCAGAAGACATTGTGCCTGTATTTCCTTCGCGCACAACGCACAAGTTCTGGTCTGTGTATGCGGATACTTGGGTCAGTTTCGTTCGCGAGCAGTTGCCTTTGATGCCTGCTTACGTTTACACCGACTACAAGGCTCAAGGTAGGTCGTTAGACGAAGTGATTGTAGACCTCGCTAGCACCACCAAGCCGCAGGGCAGGTATGTGATGCTGTCCAGAGTCAGGTCGCTGGCGGGTCTCGCGGTTCTGAGGCCGTTCTCGTCGGAATGCTTCAGTAGACCTTTACAGAAGTATATCAAGGACGAGCTAAGACGCGTGTCAGAGCTTGCCTCCCAGACTAAATGGGAATTTAGAGAGAACCCACACAAGGACGACGAGGAATACGAGGATGATCTCGGGATGACTGTAGACGCCACATCTGAAGATGGCGAACCGATGGACGTCGAGGCGAGTTCCAGCTCGCAGGACGGCACAGACTCTGAGTCATCTGCCATTGAGGATGACGAGGACTGTGACACAAATAGCGAGGTATATTCCGATTACGAGGAAGAGTACATGGTTACGGATGGAGAAGAATATGAGATTGAGATGGAGGTGGAGGGCGAGTTCTGAACGAAGGGTGTGTGGGTAAGTTAGCGCATGGCCTGTAGCCGTCGGATGTTTCTCACATGCGCGCTTGCTTTCGCCCACTAGGGCTCATCCTCTTTGGTGGAACTGCTACCTCTTGTTCTGCGTCTGCGTCTGCTATTCCTTCCTTCTCTTGCTCTTATGCTGCTCTCGTAAGTCTGTTCTCAATCTATGTGTTTTCTTACTCGCGTGGTGCGCTTGCTGATCGCGTCATCGCGTCATGTTCCAGTAAATTCATGCCCTGTATCATCGCCCTATTCTTGTGGTTCTAGTCGACGGGATGAGATATGAGGAGCTGCATGCGATGGGAGCGGGATACGGCCGGTCAGACATATGGTGCGTCGCCGTGTCGTCAATCTGCCGTGGAATTGGCAGGACTCATTATCTTTGTAGTCCGCACTCTCGTAGGCGCCAGCAAATAGGCGTTGGGTTATGTCGGGAGAAGAGATAAGGGGTCTTGTCATAATGGTGCGTACATGGGAAAGTCTTCTCCTTCTGGGAGTCTTACGATTTCTGCTGTAGACGCTCGCCGCCCTTTGTTTGCGTGTCCCAGTTTATGGGCGTTGTCCTGGATTCTTTCAAATCCGTAGATCCGGTATACGTCTACCGGTACTGAGGCGGCCTGAAAGATTTGGCGAGGGGTGGTTTTGCTCCTGGTTGCGACGACCTTCTTACGCACAAGGCCGGGGTTTTTTTCGACGCACCATGTCATGCGGTGCGCAACACGCCTCCGATGTCTGCCATCTTGGTAAGTCGTCTTGCTCCATAGCGTGTGTTCGCGACTGATGGTTACGACAGTCATTCGTTCCTCTCTGATTGGTCATACCAATCTTTTGCGTAGAAAATTGGCGTGTATCAGGCAGGGGGATGCCCCTGCGTTTATTTGAGTTTATTCGGGGTTTTCCTGAATCACTGTAGTGCGAACATGTTCGCGTCGTGCAATGTGTATGGATACTTCAATTGAACTGGTCGTGGGCGTAGCGTCCGCGAGTACCTGCGCTGAGATCGAGCGGTACAATTCCATGTGAATCTGAGGACGGTAGTGTGACACTCTCGCCGTCGTAGCTTGGTGGGGTCTTCTTTTTCTGCTTCATTTTGCTTTGCGTCGCGTACGAATGCTCGCGAGGACTTGCTGGCACCAGCGTAGAGTGTATGCACCGAACATCAAGTCACTTTGTCGTGGGATCGAACGGAGTACTATTCAAGAAGTGTGGTATATCATCAACTCGATTACTTACATTCCAGGCGATACATATCAAACTGATCGACTCGACGCATATGTTCTACATACTGCTGAAACGGATCGTTCGGATTAGGGTCTCGCAGCGTCGCGGTGCTGCCAAGTACGTATCCGATCCGCGTGAGTGGCCATGCAAATGCAACAGGACGAAGTAAGTACAGCGCGTTGGCGACTTCTCGCATCATCGTGTCGCGAGACCCGATCTCCCATGCCTCTGTACTGTCGGGCAGGACCAGCGTCTTGATGGGAGGGTAATGCAGGGCTCTGAGAGTGTTTACAAAGATGCGGAAGCAGAGGAGCCAAGATACCGTCCTCGGCGTTTGCAGCGTGACGGTTTTGCAGTAAGGGTCGAATCGGCATATGTGGCGTGCGTTGGGTAGGTCGTGAGCCCAAGTAAACTCGATTCTTGAGTACGTGTTTCGTATAGCGACGTTACGAACTCGAAGGTATCTGTGTTCGTCGTGAGGCTGGCCCCATACTGCGGGCACGTCAGTATTCTGCATATGGCATTGAGTTATGGACGTACACAGTTTGTGGAAGATATTTTGGATCTGGGAGGTCACGGAGGAGACATGTGGTTCGAGCTTGACGTCCGCGTGTACGGTACAAGATGGAGTAACCAGGATTCGGGTGAGAATCTCGTCCATCGCGCCGAAGTTGGTGTGTCCGAGTTGCAAGTACTTGAGGTTCGGGAGTTCGACGACGCTGGCCGTTGGATGAGGGTCGTTTTCTTCGATGGCGTCGACGAGGATCACTTGCGACAACGTTGCCGAGGAACGCGAGAGCATGCTGACGATGTCCGAGATGGTTGGCCTCGTGACGTCTGAGGGCGGGTCGCAATAGTCGTAGGTGCATGTAAACTCGGACAGTACGGGCGCGTCGAGCGGGTAGCAGAGGTTGGTAAAGGTGACCGATCGCAGAGCGGGTGTGTATAGGGGCACGTTGGCGAACGGGTCCGCGCAGAAGGTCGCCCTGCAGGTAACGTCAGTCTGGATGTAAGACGCTGGGTAAGTTGGGAACCGTACACGGCAGCGTGGTCCGCTTTGTCATCGAACTCGGTGGGGCCTTCTACTTCCAGAAACTCCAATAAACGTAGCCCGTAGGTCGAACAAGAACCCGCGTGGATCCATTTCATCATATGGCTGGCGCAGATGCGCATGTCCGTGCTAGAGATTGTGCGGTAGTCTTCTGCGGGGTTGTCTTTGAGTAAAGTTGCCATGAGTCGCCTGTCCAGCTCGGTTCCGATACTAAAGGCAGACGGAATGGCGGGCAGCCAGGTCGAGACCTCAAACGTGAGAGGTACGTTACGGGCCAACGAGCGCAATGCTGGGTGGGCGCGAGGAAGTTGGGTGCATACGGCGGCCCAGAATCTTGAAGCTTGCGACATGGCGTCTCGAATGCCGGAGCAGGTCTGCCGTAGCGCCATCCAGCCGAGATTGTGGTCGTGCCAGCGTCGTACGTCCGGGGGCGCTATCCATGCCAATATGAGGAAGATCTCCTCGAAGACTTCTTGTGGTAGGCGGAGTATGTACGCGCTGGATGCACAGGCAAGTGCGTCAGTTCTACTAGTGTCTGCCTGGACCGTTGGGATGCGAGTACTCACAGTGAGCATGTCTGGTTGATGATCTTTTTGAGCGTGGCGCTCAAGTTGAGGGCCTTGTTCGCGATATGCAGCGTGCTGTTGAGAAGCAACGCGAGATCCTGGCCGCTTAAGGTTGTGATACCGTAAGAGACTTCTTCTAATAGCTGGGCATGGGGTAAAGCGAGAGCAAGGTCCTGAAGGACGTCCGTGCTGGCATGACTTCAGCTTGGGAATGCGTGAAAGAGCTTGGACTGACATACGTTAATTTTGTGAATGTTGCCGACGAAGGATCCGTGAATATTTTGAACGTGCCTGCACCCAGAGCAGAGAGGGTTGTGCGGGAATTTATGGACGTGGACTCGAGCGGACGAAGAGGTACAAGGGCTGGTGCGTTGTCCATAGTGGATACGAGGGTGAGGGACAGCACTTCGATGTAATCCTCTGCGTATTATACAGTATCCCCCGCGCGGTGTGCGGGCCGATGCAGTCCATCCTGTCGGTTGGCGCGTAAGATGTCAACAAACTTGCAAGGTTGGATCTAGGTCGACGAAGCATACATGGGCGTCAATAATACATAATAACGCTAGGCCGGAATAGGAAGACGTCCACGGCCTTGTACGTCAAGACACCAGATGGACCCGGGATGAAAGCGTGCCAGAGTCCATGGACGATGTGATATGCACTCGCGGCGACCTCTCGATGCATTCAGTTGCAATAACGTTCAAGAAGTTTGGGGTCGCGGGTGATACACGGGTTCTGTGCGTTCTTGTCAGGGATACTGCGACAGCGCCCGAGTAAATTGGGGTGGACGGGGACCTTGAGAGCGTGTAATGATATCGGTGTACCTCTTGAGCAGTTGTTGGCGACGCGAACGAAGATCGCGCCTAGCTGGGGAGCGCAGGCTGTTTTGCAGTCTTTCGCGACTATAGTGCGGCATCTCTAGACTTCGGCTTGGACCGTATACGAGACTTTCGCCAGAAAAAATGGTGTGCGGGTGCTGCGGGCGCTACGGCGGTGGTAGTCAAGGTCTTGCCAGGCCGCGGCGTCTTAGCTCTTGATGCCACGTGGCATGTGCTGATGGAAACGACATCTTCTCGCGTTGCCAGTTGTAGCGCAAGCATCTTTTCCATTACGCAGTAAACTCGTACAGTCCACGGTAAGCCTATACTGGCTCACTCGTCTGGTTTTTCTACGACATAGGTACTAGGCGTACGCTTTCCAGGTTCTCCTCTCCTCTGTCTTGATGATGGTAGAAGTACTATAGGTCGTGTCACGCGTCTTCCATCTGAAGAGGTCGGGACCGATAACGGAGACGTCTGCCAGAATAGGATAACCACGGCCTTGTGATGCCCGCGTGTCTCCACAAAAGTGATCCCGTCGTGATTGAGTTGTGCGCGGGGCGCGGCTGCCGCGAGTGCTTGTACGTGGATGTAGATCAGAGGCGTCTTTGCGGCTACTCGAGGCACACGTCAGAGTTGACCCTGAGTGTCATATACAGCCATTTACCCCGTGTATGCTCGGGTATCAGAGAGGACTGTGACATTTGTTTGGGGTTCCGCGGTCCGGTGTAGACCTGTCCGTGAGGCGTCTCCCCGACGTATTCCTGATATGGTTAAACCACAGTCCGAGTCGCGGACGGCGACCTTCGACTTCTCTATTGGGCGTCTTGAGGGTCATGTACGCTCGCGCTCGTATTTGCTTGGTTGCTTCAGATATTGTGCGTGCCGAGCGGACGGGCGTACCTCGATCTCGGCAATTGCAGATGCGCCTGTCTGGTGGCTCAGTCAATGCTTGCGATCTCGACCGTGAGCCGTCTTCAGCTGGCCGGCCAAATATATGCGAGACCATTTGCGAGTGGTCTGAGATATTGCGTGTCTTCCCCTCAGCGTTGAATCCGTCGCAACATGACATCGTGTGCGTATCTCTCGGTATCATATGCGGGTTGTCCGGCTCATGGAGTATGTCGCAGTCCATGGCGCTTGGAATTCTATTCATCTCGATACGGTTGTGAAGCGGATTACTTCTCCGGACATGCGATTCTGGATGTACAGGTACGATGTGCATGGCTGGCTTCCGAGCGTGAGCTGACATCTTGTATGACTCGTCTATGTAGCAACGCGAAACTTTCAGAAATGATCGCGTTGTGCAGCACACTTCTCTATCACGGCGTCTTGGCTCGTGGTCTAGGGAGAGGGAAGCGCAACGCGTTCGAACGCCTGCCTATCGAAGTCCTTGACAACATCCTTCTGTTCTCGGGCGCGTCGTCTCTTGCGACTAGGAATGCCATCCAGCTGGTGTCGCGGCAGTTTCGCTGCATCGTTGTCCTCAACACAAACTTCTTGCGCGACCTAGCATCCTTGCCAGTCCAAACTTCGGCTTTCTACGCGCAGTTTCAGCGGGCCCACTCTCTCGGACGCACTTTCGATCTCATTCTAGACGAGCGTAATGAACGGCGACCTTTACCGCCACCGACCTGCCTGCTCAGCGGCATCACATTCGCGCACACCGTGGTTGTGCTACACACTGTGAACGTTGGAGAAGCATTGGCGGCTCTTGCACGCCGGCCGAGTTGTGATGTATTGACCAAGCTGGTCCTGGCTCCCGTGGGCGACTTCACTACGGCCAAAAGGGTCTTGTTACCCCTTCGCGGGCAAGATGGTGAAATCCCGATCAAGGCGCCCAACCTGAAGAGCGTCGAACTTCGACAGATGGCCGTCGACTTTCCAAAGACGTTCGGTCTCCGTCATCTGCTGGTCGACTGTCGCAGTGGTGCCGACCTCTTCGTCACGTATAATGCCTTTCGGCCGCAGACGTTGCATGCTATCTTGGCGCGTAACAAGTCACTGGAGACAGTTGAGCTCCGGAGTCCTATTGGCGACTCGTATCTTCAGGATTCCGACCAGTCGGTGGCGATGATAGCTTTACTGGAGGTGGCAAAGTTCAAGTTGACTACGAGCCACGTTCCGGTTATGGCCTGGATCCTGTCGCGCTTGACTTTGTCTACTCAAGCATGCATATCACTGGAGATCGGGGAATATGCAAAGAAAGACGTCGACGTGCCCTCGCTGGTACGCGCAATGTGTGAGTTCTCGTCGGCCATGACTTCTTCTTCTGCATCTGACTTCGATGCCCTCCCTAGTACCGCACGTGTCCTCGCGGAACATTGACGCGTTGACCATAGTGCAATCTACGAGCACCACACGACTGTCATTCAGTCACGGCCATCGTCTCTGGGAGGACGCTCCCGCTCCCGGATCCTCACGCTTTCCTCGTCGTCGGGGTTCTTATCTGCCGCACCCCGGTGCAGTTGATCTCGAGATTTGCTACAGCAGTCCTCGTATAGTCCCTGTGAGCGCAGATCTGGTTGTATGTCAATGCGTAAAGCTAACTAATCGCATGTAGGTCTCTTGGCTACGCGTATTTTCTTCGCTGTCGGTCGCCGGTTTCGACTTAGATCGTCTGAAGATGCTTGAGGTGAGCAAATCACGATTGCATTGTTCGTGGGCGTCACTGAATGAGCACAGTTCCACGGGGACTTCCATCTTGAGACGCTTCATTCAATAGAGGATCAGACCCTGTTCGAGCACGTACAGGAACTGCGGTTTTGGCCCGACGGACCACACACTCTCAAGGCCTCGTTATGGCGGCTCTGTACGCCGGATTCAGTCACCTGGTCGACTGTCACTCGGATATTCACCACGCTCTTTCCTGCTGTGAGATCACTTGTTGATACGAGGCATCTGAGAGCCTTGACCGGACAGTCTACAAATGAACTGCTGGCTGGGGTTCGGGTACTTCCGTTCCGGTACTAGCTTGTCCGTCAGTGCAGGTGTTTCAACCCATGAGTAGATCCTTATAATACACGCTCGATGCTAATCTGCGAACAAGAGTTTTTTGCCTCGTGTCCGCGCGAAGGCGGGTGAATCATCGAGGCTTGGCTCATCATGAAGAGGCCAATACGCCAGAGTCTCCAATCCTTCGCGCGCCTTGTTTTGAGTGAGCTGTCCTTCGACAGGTTCAACCCGGGGAGGATGATGAGGCGACGTAGTATGTCGAAGGTTGGTCTGCTTGAGGTGTTCGTGTCGTGCGTCTTCATCCTGGTGGCGCGGCATGTCCGGATCCCGAAGCAGTCGGGTGTCGGAGCTCTCATTCATCGGTCGCACGACTGAACTGTGTGGGGTGTCTGGTGGCTCCATAGACCGTATCAGGTCAGTGCGCATGCCTTTGAACGAGGGGGGGAATATGCATGGTCCCATTTCTGGACACTGTATGCAGGATCTGTACGGCAATGTGTCAGTGCCGCTTTTGGGTGCACATTGCCCTGGGGATACGTACTCACATTCACCGCTGGGGGTTTTAATGCATCTCCCCCTCCTTTTGCGCCGACAGTTGAGACACGCCACGAATGGTGCTTCGGGGAGGGCGAGAGCGGGTTGCCAGCATAAGATCTGGAAGGCTTGCGTGCCAGTGCTGTAAATGGACTGTGGAGATAGCATGCCATTCCATTCTCTCTGTTCATTGCTTGTACTGGTAACGGGGCCTTCACCCGGTATATCCTCTTGAGGAGTCGACTGGGTTCGGCTGTCAGTCTCTTGTCGGTTTCGCCGAGAGAGGCGTAACTGACCATGTCAAGAAGATATTTGATGGGTATGGGCGGCGAGACCGGCGTCTTGGACGGACTTCCTCTCTTGGACGAACTTCCTCGATGGTGGGACGAGGCCAGGTATGGTTACAGCCAACACGTGCGCGTCATGGGAAATCCGATTTACACGTGGTGATTAGATTTTGCCGGGGCTTATCTCTCCTTTACTTGTCATGGGTAATCAAGACGCCAGGCGGAGAAGGCTGCGTCTGTGCGTATCGCATGAAACATATATACCGTACACTCCAATCGGGAAGATTCGCTGTTAAGCTTGGTACTCTCCTGCTTGCGCTTCTAGCTTTTTATGAACCCTTGTCTCTCTCACATTTATCCGTTTGGTAGATCTGCTCAGCTTTGATCGTAAGTACTGCGCCATTTGATTCGTATTCAGGGTTGGAGAGAAAATTAGAAAACATGGCTCGGATGAAACTACGTCCTGTCTTTTGACCATCAGACTTCAGAGCTCGTCCTCGCCGACCTCTATCCAGCGTGAAGGTGTGTCTTCTGGGAGCGATACAAGAATTCCGGTATACGTGTCGATGTCTGATGAGACTACCTGCAAAGCGTGAACCTCGATATCGTGCAGCGCCTCTTGAACTACAGAATGGGCAGAGAGTCCTTCGAGGTACTGTATGCCGATGTCGCAGATATGGCGAGCGTTGCCCTCTTGGTCTGGTTCAAATATGGCATCGAGAAACGTCTCGATCTCGTTCGGCTTGTCTTTGGCGGCCTCTGCCAGTTTGCCCTCCGGCATCGGGTACAAAGCCAGCGTAAGAAGTTCGTCGTGGGCAGATGACAGGATCTGAACCCCAAAGGCGTTTGGCGTCCCGGCCCCATAAAGTGCGTGAATGATGGAAGATACCGAGCGGATGGATTCCAAATCTTCGAAGACAAGATAGAGGGATACTTTGGTTTTGCTGCCATAAGAGACTTGGTCGATGAACCGCGTAACAGTCTCCGAATTGGTCATGTCGGACTTTGGACTCCTGTCGGTATATCTTAGAATTCTGAGGTTGTCCAGTCGCACCCTTTCGGTCGGTGGACCGATCGGTGACTCGTCTTCTTCGAAGAGCTCAGGAAAGTCAATGTGTAGTTCGACGAGAGTTGATGGAGAATGTTCCAGAGAAGACAGTAGCGTGTAGATCTCCAGACTGTATGCGGGTTGGTAATCGTAGTCGGGATCTCGCGCGTTCATCGTGAGCGTGGACAGACAACTGTCTGGGAACTGCAGCCCGATGTCTGTCAACACGACGGACTTCAACGATGTCAATCCTTGGAGTTGTGGAAACGGTAGAGGAGTCCCGTCTGCGGTGAAGGGTTCGGATTCATAGGCAACGATCTGAATCTCGCACACGTTTTCGAAAGCGCATTGGCGGATCGAAGCTAGCCACCTCCTCGTGAATGCGTTGCGTCGGTGCTCGTATATGAATATTCGCTTCACGCGGCGAGAGACGTCAGGATGATTTATCAAATAATCGAAAACAGGTGCGATGTCGACCCGGTCACTGGCTCCATGTAAAGTCAGCGTCAGAGGACACTGTCCTGCGCGCGATATGACAGTGGCGAGTCCTTCGGGATGCTTTCCAACTTCGTTGGCCCACATGATCGGCGTGTGCTTGACAGCGAGAGTTTCCCAGTATCGACAGACTTCGCGAGAAAGCGAGGAGAAGCCTTTGTTCCCGGCTTGCCCCACATCTCCCTCAGCTTCGATGGTCCTGGTATCATCCGGGCCATACGCAGCGTCGTCGCCATCGATCTCAACACGAACCGTGCGTTTCGGCGGGTGAGGTGGATCCAGCGCTGCAGCGTGAACGAGGATTTCTGATAAGAGCTCTGCTGGTAGCGACTGGATGGAGAGTTTGTTTCGCAGTAGGTCTGGTGGTAGTACAAGCGGGCCTTCGAACTGGTGTTGACAGTCGCTGGTCGAGCCAACGGAAACGCATGCATCCTATAAAGCGGATTCAGGACAAGCACAATACGGTCTGAACGGGTACTGACCATCCTTTCAAACACACACTTTCATGTATGACATGCCTCGTGTAGTGTGTGTGGTACTGGCAGTTGTCAAGGAGCAAGCGCGGACAGGTGCAAGCTAAGCCGCGCCGTGGAATTTCCGGATCGGCAGTGTGCGCCGCGTGAGAGGAAAACTATCTTCGGCGCGCAGGAGCGGCTTGCCTTTTGACTTGATCATCGATTCTGGTACCATAACGTGGAGACCTCGAGAGCAGATCTGAACCCATTATCAGATGGAATCTACTCATAATGCGGCATTGGCATTCTGCTATATCAACGCTCTTCCACTAGAGATACTGCTCGCTATTCTTCGTTGGGTTCACCTCGCCTACTGTGCTTCCGTTGCTCGACGGGGTTATGCGTATATGCTGGACGAGCTTTGTGTCTGCAAGCTCTGGAAACATTCGATTGAAGAATGTTCCGAGTTCTGGCGTCTTGTGGTCCCAAGCCCGAATAACGAGCGTCTTCGTCACAAAGCCATGATGCTCTCTCGAAGCCAGCCCCTTACGTGTATTGTCGCATCCAACTCTATCGCCGGCGCCCAGGACTCGTGCAGCCTCCTTACGAGCGTCATGGACGCGAGCGTTCTTTGGCGTGTCGAGCGTCTCCAGTTGGAGCACGCTTTCGCGGTTCCTGATTTCGAGGTCACCGATAACGTCCTGCCTGATGTGTATCCCCTCGCCACCCAGGTTCTGACTGGGGAAGAGGAAGCAGCGAACATCACGGAGCTGTTTTTTTCGGTCAGGCTGGACCTCATTTATGCTTCCGGTCGACCCATGCCGAAGCTACGCAGCTTACATCTTGAGAATGTTCGCCGACCACCCAATCTCATGACATGGGCACGGACACTCAACGTGTTGGTCATGGTATGCGTGATTGGTATTGACGGCTCGGCGTTTCTTGACGCTCTTATGGCGATGGACTTTCTCACTGTCCTGGAGATCGACTCTGTCGCATTTCGCGCGGAAGACCTCGGCGACCGAGTAGAAGAAGATTCTGTGCGCCTTTTGCGGTTGGAGCGTCTCACTCTACACTTGGAGGTGGATGACATGGCAGCATTACTCTGTATGCTCGATACGCCAAGACTCCGGTACATGTTCCTGACCGAACATCGTGGCATTCGGCCTTTTGAAATGCCTCCCGGGGACAATCCTCCGGGATTGACACGCGGACCCGAAGAAATCGTCAATGCTACTATAGCCATCCTCAGGCGCACTTGCTGCACGCGCATAGATCTGGGTCCGGACTTGCGGTTCCAACGAGACATAGCACACTCAAGCTCCCATGATCTCGTACCGGAGTCATTCGTGCGCATTGCGTCCCATGACAGTCGGCGTGCCAGATTCGCTGCATTCATGCGAGGCATATCATTGGCGCTGCTCTACGAACCTGGTCTATTGACATCCGTCCATTCACTACACTTGAACGCTTCGTCCCCCTTCACCATGTCGAGCGTAGAATGGTCCGATGTTTTGAACGAACTCGAAGGGGTCCGCTCTCTAGAGATCGTCGGTCGTTCAGCAAACATGTGTGATATACTGCTAGCTTTGCGATCGACGAACGAGTATGGAGCAGTGCTCCCGTCGATGCGCCGGATCACGCTCGTTCCTGTAGACCTCAGCGTCGCAGTCGCCGACGCAATCGTGGAACTAGTGCGCTCGCGAAGCACAGAGTCATCTAGTGCGGAAGCGTTGAGCGAGTGCATCGTCTTCAAGGATTGGTTCCTGCTCAACGTCGCGGACGAGCGCGAAGAAGCATACCGCATTCTTGCCGAGTTGGACACCGCTGTACCTATCACTTTCCGTGCGCGCGAGCGAAGTGTGGTACTCGCGCTTGAGGAAGTAGAGGCGGTGCAGGACGGGGATGGCTCATTTCACGATACCTTTGACGTCTTAGCAGGACACGGGGCGTCTTCGGCGGCGGCACTTTAGAAAGGAAACGGATAAGGCAAGGCCGAGTCGATGGTCGTCGGGAGCTCCGGGTGTCTGCGCGTTCACGCATGATTGAAGAATAGAAGGGTTTATTATAATGCATGTAATGTAGTCTCGGATAGAACATGTCTAACATATCTCTTGCGAAAATCTGTAAGCGTCGTGGTTTGCGTGAGGAAGTGTTTCGAAATCGACTACGCGTTTGCGAAATTCGGTTCCCAGCGGATGGTCATCTCGGACGTCACCAATGCTTGCCATGACCCTCTTCCACGGGAACAGCACGCGTAAGTTGGGCATCGCGAGGAACACTTGTTCCCAAGGTGTATGGGACTTTTGATGATCACCCGGTAGGAGAGCGAGTACGAGAAGACGGATGTGCGAGCTTCCGCATGCTCGCGTGGCCGCGATGGTCGTCTCGTGCCACGCGCATGGGAGGTACGCGCCGCCGAACGAGACGACAATGTCAGGGTCGGGAGGAGACCGAGTGCGTGAACTCCAATCGTCTGACCAAGCGCGTACGATGGTGCGGTCCGCGATTTGCCTGTGGCCAAGATGTTCGACGGAAAGGGACTGAAAGGATGTTGTGCTTGAAGGGCGGCCTGGGTAGGAGGTCAGTACTTGTGGACGGATCAAAGCCAATGAGGCGTACAGCAAAGATCCAAGATCATTTCTTCGTCTCGCAGACTCTGCGCAGGGCCGTCTCCTACGATGGTACGCACTCTGAGCTTGGTTCCGTGCTGCGGCCATAAGATGATGCGCAGGAGGTTGGCTATATGAGGCGCATAACCGATTAATACCATATCTTTCAAGCTTGGCATTGCGATTGGAGCAGATTGTTGTTGAGTCACATCGTCACGATAGGATCCGCCGACAGGGTTGACGAGTTTTAGCGTGGTGAGGGCGTTCCAGCAAGAAAGCTTCATGGCGTGATAGAATGTGTGTATGGTTGGACGGAGATAGTTTCCTGATGCGAAGATCGAGGTGAACCGCTCGATACTAGGTGAGCAGACGACTGTCCAGCAGTTTTCGAAATATACGTCCTCGAGAACGTCGCTGATGATGGGGGCGATGTCGGATCCTTCAGTCAATGCTCTGTGATACTCTTGTTGAGCAGCTCGTCGTCGATATGAAGATATCACGTACTTCGCTTTAGGCCCGCTCCAGTTCCATTGCCACGTTGAGAGGTACAGCGTTCGTAAGTGTCGCAAAGGAGATTTCCCCGCTAAAGCTGCCAACGCAAAAATATGGTCGGTCACATCGTTGCCCCGACCATCGGCGACATGTATTTCGGAACACTTCTCAAGTGGGGTGGCGGCGAAGAATTTGTTGAGCGTAAGATCGTCAGTGTAGAACATCGCTGAGAAGGGTGAGATTGCAGGCTCCCATGCGTTGACCCTGTACACAAGCGGCACACGGCCTGCACGGGCAAGGAAGATCGCCTGTAGTTTAGGATAATGCGAGTAACAAGAAGCCCATATTGACGCGTTCGCGACGATGATGTCGCGCCATCTACTGCAGACCCATAGCAGGATGAACCATCCCGCGGAGTGCTGTCCGCATCCTGGCATGAACAGCGGGAGGTTCATTGCACGAATGGCATCGCGGAAAATCAAGCTGAGGATCTCTGCGGGAAGACTATATGCGGTTGATCTACCAAATGCATCAATGAGCGCGTGTAGTAGGATTGTACTTCGAGTACGCACTGTAGCATGTTGCGCGTCCTTTTGACCGAAGTGGCGGGGTACGTCGGCACAGCATCCATGTTGCGCTCGATACCGCGCAATAAGCCAGAAAGATATAGCAACGGCAATGTGCTCTGCGCTGGGCGGAATGAGAATGGCGGTACTGGGCGGTAGAGAAAGATGAGCGCACCGATGGTACCGAAGGATAGAGGATGTTCTTTGAAGGCATTGCTATAGGTGCGTTATATATGTGAGCGGTATAGCGCGTGGTGCAGCGGCCCTCTTACAGGCACGCTCTCGGCTCTGCTTGTGCATCGCTTGGACGTCGGTCTGAATCTGACGCCAACGGGTAGATATTGCGCTTGTTGGCATTGAGGGTGTTTCACGTCGATTCTGAAAGAGACTGAAACGGGCACGAGGGGAAGACGGGGTATAGAATAAAACTGTGGTTATTTGTGCACGAGGCGGTCGACTTCTTGCTCATGGGTCAACGAGAGTAAGATGGACTTGCTCTGCCCGCGTCTCGGGTGTTCCGGGCCGAGACTTGAACGAGCTTCCGCGAGTCAACTTGGATTGTACACTCATCCTTTGCACGCGTTGTATACGATCTCAACCACTGAAATATATTTGTACGGTGCAGAAGCGCTACTACAGCATGTCTGGCCCTTCGTCCATCGCGTCGTGAAACTCATTCTGTACATTCTCGTCCCTTTCAACCGGCATCGGCGTATCGACGGCGGCGGACATTGTCTGAAGTTAGGATATTAGCGGCTGTGAACCCAGAATGGCAGGGTGGAAGGTGCGCACCTCTTTGGCTTCTTTCGAGGACAGAAGACGAATGCAGGATACTAAATCGAATCTCACGTTTACAGCTGTAACTGTGTTATTCTTACCCGGCTGCACCAAAGCGATGACCTTGACGACGGTCTGCACGAAGTCGCCAGGAGAAAATTTGGCCACGCCGCACGCTTTGATTTGCATATCTGACTGCCTGTACCCAAGTTTGACCGTCGAGGTTATGCGCCATTTACGGTCGATTTCTGCGGCAGGACCGGTCACTGGTATCGAAGGAGGCGTCTGCTTGGTCACCTGAAGAGGTTATGGCGTCAAATCGGCTGTTCGCAGCTTGATGCGAAGACATAGCACGTACCATTTCAAACACTCGGCGCCCCAACTTCAGCTCTTTTTGGCGATTGCGCTTCATGGCATTCTGATCCGTGACGGGGAGTCCGCATCCGCGCAGAGTGCCGATTATATGTTGTTCTACCTCCGATAACGCAAGTCCTTGCGCTCTGAACGGGCCGCGAATTCGACCGCCTGTGAGTTTGATCCATTGCAGAGCCGTGCGTGCGCCCTGAAGAGTCCTATAGTGCATGCATGAGTGGAATACGCATCTGAAAGCAGACTTCGAACGCTCACTGGTTCCAGTTTCCCGTCGGGGATAGGTTCATGGAGTCGATGAATCCGTACAGCGCCAGGGTGACAGACCAAGGACAATTGGCGTTATCGTGCGGCCGGATGGTTGGCTGGTACAAGATACGATACTCCCGAACTGCGGAACCTCTTCTCTGCCCGGGAACGATATACATATACCTCGACAGGTCGATGTTACGGGGTATGCTGCGCCAAGGTTCGAGAACGTCGGTTTCTTTGTCGTAGAACGCGCCATATATCACGGATGCATCGCCCGGATAGTCATCAACAATGCGCTGACCGTCTTCGTCTGTAGAGCATTAGACAAGTTGCGTGCAGGCGAGCCGTACGGGGGACGTACGCAACAAGTATGACATGGTGCACTTGTGGTGAGTCCTATACTGGAAATTCTATCTCGTCGATGCTTATATATCCGAGAACAGTGGTCGTGTGGCCATAGGTCAGCCTCGTCTTTTGCGTGGAGCCCGAGATGGGGAAGGTCATTTTTGCAGAGGCGATGTGGTGATGTGTTCATGAGAATGCACGGCGCGTGTCGGGTCCGCGCCGCGGCGCCACTATTTTCGCCAAGGGGGAAGACCAGTACGGCGATCGCCATCCGCGTAACCTCGGACTGGTTTGGTCTAGTTGGTAATTTATCGGGTCGTCTTGAAGACCGCGTCCATATCTCGAGGCTGATGTTGCTGCGCCCGGCATCAATTGTCCATGGGAAAGGCTCGACGTCGCTCGCTCCCAGCCCCTGTTCGATCACACCCTGCCCAAAAGACCGCGCGCTTCGCGCCTCGAGGCGTTTCAAGGTCTGTAGGGATGCTCTGGCTATACGATCTGCGTTTATGCGCCTGACCGGACTTGCAGACCATTCGTTGCCGTCGCTCTTCACCCAAATAAAGGAGCGCGGCGGTCAGGGTCCTGCTGTAACACCACCCTCTCCCGCTACAACCCCACTTTCTTCTAACCCGCATGGCTATGGGTACTCGCAACACGAAGCGACCCAGTCAGTCGCCCCCGCCCTCTTCGCCTCCCCCTACCAAGGTTTTCATGTGCGTCACGCTTTTGTTCTCTCCTGTCATTGGCTTGACGTCCTATGCAGTGCTTCTGAATCTGACGATGAGTCCGTCGATGGTGGGCTGACTGTCGAGGACTATGTTGATATCATGGCGGAACATAGTTCGGATTCTGACAGTCAGGCCGATGCCGCTGACGCTGCCAAGGACGACGACGGCGATTCTTCTAACGAATGGGTTGTCCCCGATAATGGTGTGTCTTGTTCATCCCATGGGATGGTCCCTCTGTTGAGATCTCCGTCATGCCGCAGTTGAACCCTCCATACACGAGTCTTCCTCGGACACGATGAGCGAGTCGGACTTCCCGACTGCCTTGACCGGGTGAGCTTCTTCCTCGGTTAAGATTGTGTATACTTGAACTCATGCCTCTGCGAAGGACTAGAGAACGTTCGGCTTCGTGGGATCTCAATGACTCCATTCATCTCGGCACCGTCGACGTCAAAGGCAAGTCTGTTGCAAAGCGCGTCGTCGTAACCGACAACACCGGAGAATATATGGAGAACGTCGATGGGAAAGACCAGCTCGGTGACGACGGCGATGGCGCTGATGAACCCGGCAAGTCTACTGCAGAAGAAGACGGTTCGAGAGAAGCCGCCGATGCCATCGCTTCTCAGACCAGACAGCTGTCTCTGGATGACGCTGGTGTTCATGGTCCAGTTGACAGTAGCGAGGGGGATGTACGTGTCGCATCAGGTACTCCACGCAGAGCCGCTAACGACTCCATCGTGTAACAGGTCGCCGACATCTTTAACGCTGTCAAAGAAGGCAGATCGGTCACTCTAACTGAAAAGCAGAAGGCAAAGGAGTTGAAGAAGAAGGCGGCTGAGGAGGAGGAGAAGAAGAAGAAGAAGAAGAAGAACGCCGCCGCCGCCGCGGATGCGTCGAAGAAACCCGAAAAGGAGCAAGCAAAGTTGGAGCTTGAGAAGAAGGACGAGGTCGTTCTCGATGAGCCGTTCGAACGTGAAGACGGTGTGCCTATCAGAGGCAAGTTCCTGCGGTGCGTCTTTCCCTAAACGATCAGAATTGAGCGCGTTGCTCATGTCCGATGCCTACAGTCGTCTGGTCATTCTCTGCGGGTTTGGGAACGACACCGAGTGCATGTACTACGTGCGAAACGAACCTAGCAAGCTTGCTTGGTCCAAGGAGAAACCTCAATTCTCGCGTCTCTTGGTCAAGAAGCAGGCGACTCGATTGCGTTTAATGGTGCTCGGCCAGGTTACTTGGAACGGCATGCTTCCTACGCGCCACCCCGTCGACGGGCTAAAGTATCCCAAGCGACCCAAGGTATCTGTCAAGTGTCTTCGTGACGGCGACCTTGTATACCTCAAGAATATGCTGAAGCAGTATTCTGACTCCAGTAGGTCCATGACTTTCTCGTTTGCGTTTCATCTGCTAATACCTCGGTCGTCAGAGGATCCCATGGATCTTCAGAACATGGGTGTCGTCACCGCTTACACTGACTGCGGGGAGAGAAAGCGTGGCACTGATGCGACGGCGGTATGTTTCGAACTTGGTCATTATACCCCACAATCGTTGACGTGTTGTCGAAGGGTACCGCGTTCAAGGAGCTCTACAACGGAGAGAAGAAATATGCTCCCAATAAACAGGGAATGGAGACCATGCGCGTCAACGAGCTCATGCGCGGGGACATCGTCATGCTCGAGTTTTCCGTCGCTCGTTACTACGACAAGACGGGGAACAGGGAACAGAACATAGAGCCGGACTGGACCAGTATACGCGCGTACTTCCGTATGGAGGCTGTGACCTTGCTCATGCCGGGCGACCAGCAGGTCGCTGAGCCGACGACGAGCAAAAAAGCAGGTCCATCTCGACGCCGCGTGGGTGATGTGCCCATGGACACAACTCTCTAGTTGACTGAGCGCCGCCTGTTGTTTCGGAACGAGTGATGTCATTCTGCGTCTTATAAGGAAATATAGACCGTGTACTTAATCATTTCTACTGCACGTCGTTTTGGGCCTCCACTCAAATATGTCTTCCCGGAGACGGTTGTTCCGCCCTTGGCATGGCCTCGATGAATGTGCAAAGCAAGATATGAGCCAGTGTGAGCTCCAGAAATGTGTGGGAGATCATCGATCATCCCGGATCAAAAATGGACGCACCGAGAGGCGGTCCCGCGTTTTACTTCTTACCATCAACCATGTCGCGAGGCTACTAAACCTGCAACGCGAACCGCGCGCCTCTCGCTAATTCGCGCACCATCCGTCGACGTCGAGGACAATGAGGCTCCTGACACGCACACGCGGCATCAATTCGTGCTCGGCCTGATATCAATATTCGCGTGCTGCCCGAAACTGAAACCGTGGACGGGGTACGACTGCCACCACTCTATATAAACCTCTGGAATCTCTCGATGTCTTGCACATCTCCTGTACCAATCCGAGCTGCCTGCTTCGAATCAAATCCCCATATCGATGTCTCATCCCAATATCATTGTATGTCGTGTGGATTTCCCCGATTGTCTGCTCTCGCTCATCGTTGTGTATAGCTCCAGCAAGGCGAATTGGTGGCCGGCGTAAACTACACTCGAGAGCTCCGATTTCTCGTCGCTCAAGGCACCTGCTCGACAACCATCAGTAACCTTAATGTCTCATTTCGCGCGATCCCTACTTATAGCATCTTTGCTGAAAGATTATCTCGCGGATGTGCTCGAAGACGTGTTCTTCGAAACCATGGCTCGGCAATCTCTGCCTCTCACCAGATCTAACTGGCCCCTTGTTGAAGCAGGCCTCAGTCGCGCCTTTGCCTTCCATCTGGCAGTCGTCACGGGCGCTCCCATGATCATCATATTGGTGGTGCTTGTTTATCTGGATAGGATGAGAGGTAGTCTCGTGGTCTCGCCAGCTTATTTGGCTAGCGGGCTAGTGCCGGAGCGACTTCTCCTGTCAGCCTGGGTACATGCCTTCCAAGTGCGCCATCCGCTCCCCTTCCACTGTCCCGACGTTGACCATGCCCATTCCAGACACTGTATGGGGTCCCAGATAATCGCTTTCAGATCTGGGCTAGTGCCACTGGCACATTCACGCCTGCCGAAGTCGAACAAACCGTCGACGAAATCAAGCACGTTCTTGGCGATGATTTCTCATTCACCGAAGAAGATATGCACGTCCATTGCAGCCAGCTGGTGAATCTTTTCGAAAACTGGTCGGACCCGCGCGTGTCCAACCCAAGCAATCGTCTCCAACGGGCTGCGACAGAGCCATCCTTTGTTGATGTCAATCGGCGAGTCTCTTCTGCAGAATTGATCCTGGTTCAAGGCTGACTATGGGTGCTACTACGATAGCTCGCGAGGACAAGCGCCTGGGGCAGGCTTGACTGGAGGGGTGGAGCGTCGAAGCGTCCGGATACTGTGCAGGTCTACTGCTAGACGCCGCGAATGAGTTTGTAGATACTGTTCGTCGACCGTTGTCTATACTGGAGTCGCTCACCGCAGGCGCAGCTACATTACAACCCCGGGATGCCCGATCTAATCACTCTTCACGGATTGACGTGCATAAACATATTTTCGACAGACCGTGCGCTCGAATCGAGCTTTACGCGACATTTAGCAAGCGTGACGGTTTGTATGGGATGATCTGCTTGCGAACATACCAAGCAAGGCAAACGCGGGTCCTCGGGTCTGCGCATAGTTGGTGGACATGACGAACACTGTTTCGGCAGGCGGTACAGCGCAGCAACCGTGGCATGACGGCGTTATGAATCTGAAACCCGGAGTCGTGTGTCATAAGGATCTTCGCTCGAGCTAGACGTCGAGATCCCATGGGTGGACGATTATTTGTTTCACATTCCATTTACGCGTGTATGATGTTCCTCAGTGCCTGGACGAGCTTTGTATAAAGAACGACCCGACACTCTGTATGAGAGCATAGTCGCGCTGTTCTCTTCCTTCGGGCGACTGCCGGGAGTTTGCGACAACACGCGCTATTCCCGACGATCTTCACATCGGCTGACTGGCTCAAGGCAAGTCACGACCTGCGATGTCTCCATCGCTTCATGACTTGTTGTACGTGATTCAATCTACCATGCGTATACGTCGCCTTTCTAACGCTTCATCGATGCAGCTACCAAGATCCAGATTTGGCAGATCATTTACTGTGTTTTTTCGAACCTCGTGCTCTTGCCTCACTCTCTCAACTAGATCATGCGTGCAATCACGCGTTGCGCGAATATTCCTGTCGCGCCTTCACCATAAACGGGATCCTTGCGCCTTTCATCACGCACATAGACGCCTTCCGCGAAGTCCAGTCACAGACTGGTGCCCTCGTTTCAGGGTCTACTGCACTGCAGTTCTTTGACAGGGCTCGCTATAGTTGCAGCGACCTTGATATCTACGTCGAGCGTAGGCACGCGCTCGACATCGTCGACTTCCTACGAGGATCTGAACAATACATATTCCGGCCTCGAAGAACTCAGTACGATACCCCGGAACTGGCGATTGAAGCAGCGTATATGCATCCGGATTCTTACGACGATCGTTACGCCAGCCGTTATCTTGCGGAAGCAATAGCAACCGTACTAGACTTCATGCGCGATGGTCGGAAGATCCAAGTCATATTATCATTCTACTCCCCGATGGATGCTGTCTTGAACTTCCATTCTAGTACGTGATCTAACTCCAGACCCCGAAAAGGACACTGATGGTTGACCGCACATATGCAGCATGCGTGATGAACGTGATCACTCATAGCGCGGCTTACAGTCTTTTCCCTCGCCTTACTTTCGATGAACGGTTGTCATGTACATTCACCGCGTCAATGGGCTCGGGGCCGGTGTGGGAAGCCATTCGTGGAAAGTATCTCAAGCGTGGATTCTCATTTGTCCCCGGAGCAACGAACAGGGTCGCGCTCGGAGCTGTGGACAGATGGGTCGGAGATCGCGATACTTGGACTATCCCTCTCGCACCGACTCTTCCCTCCTTACCGGCGGACTGTATATCCATCAACGCTTTCCGAGTGGGACGGAATGCATCAGACGGAGTCGTGATCAAGTACGACTTCCTAGACGATCCAGACTTGCGCTTCGGGTATCTTGCTGGACGAACGGAGCGGGCTCTGTTGCGTATAGCTTGGGCAAGTCAACTAACGAAGCCCCGTACTACTCTCGAGTCTATCGAGAAGTACGTCCCTTCATACAGCCATCAGACAGGTCTTTAGAGGCTTACTCGATCTCACAAACGCTGTAGGTTCGCAGTGGACGTGTCGTTGCGTGATGCGATGCAAGCGTACAGATTCGGAACTACGAAAAAGGTTATAACCGTGAATCTTTCAGACGTTTCAGACGGAGAGTTTGGCACACCATCATTCACTGAAGGGGGTCGTCGTCTGGTAGGATTGAGTCAAGAGTTGGTCCGCCTACACTGAACGTGAAGAGGCTTGGGACGATCAAGGGTGCATACACGCCTATACAGCGGCAAGACAGACATGGAATTGGGGATCGCTGGATGTGGCTTGAAAAGTGTAGAGATACCGCTGACATATGCGAGATCCTCGTGTATGTAAGAGCTCATTGCCGACCCCGAAATACTCCATCCTTAATCTCCATTTCGAACATCTCGTTGCATGACCGGGTAAGACGTGTATCTGCGGTGTAAGCCGCTTCTACGTCTTGCAGTTGTTGTATCTGGTGGCTCTTCTGTTCTGACAGGGACCACTGGCGCGTGAGGACTGTACTGCACTTCTGGTGAGCATGATCCATGTAAAGAACACTGAACTCAATGACCGATGGTAGCGCATCCGTGAACCTAGAAGGGATAGCCATCCCTTCGCACAACACGACGTTGCGTTCCTCCATCGCAAACGTGACGCCCGTACCAATGCGAGGTTCAAAGGCTGTAGTTGCGGGTACGGAGGAGTGTGCAAGCGCGAATCGGTGCATCAGCGGGTCATCCAGAATCACTGCTTCTTCTGGGGCGGTACTCGACAGTACGTCACGGACCACTTGCACAATGTCGACTACATGTCGCTGCAGCAGTACACGGTAGTTGAAACCCCATTGGGGCTGCAATTGCCCGGCGATACAGCGCGTAACTGGAACGATGAGGTATGACATCACATTTCCCGCTGGCTCGCGCCAACCCGCGTCAGTCTGCCACCCGAGGATGTACATCTGGAACAGGGCTTCCTCATCGCTTCGCGTGATGTACCGTGTGACCTTGGCATAACACTCGATACCCTGTCGTAGTCGGTGTACAATGATGGAACCATAACTGATGAACGACCGGCCGATCGAGCCGAGCAACCAGAACAAGGCCTGGCGTTTGCCGCGCTCGTCAAGATGAGCGCCCAAAAATTGGACGAAGAGGGCGAGGTTCAAAGACACGAGTGGGCCTGCAAGTGCGCGAGCAGGTGTGATACGCGTGTTCGGGCCGAGTTCGGTAAGATTTGTCGGCGTGGCATCCGCTGAGAAGTTGTTGCATCAGGCGATATTGCGCCGAATGGTCCCAAGAAGTAGATGGACAGACCTAAGTGGGAAGGACCATCTGGATGGGCGGAGGAAGAGCCATAGACGACGGCTGGTGCGCCGCTTGCGGACGATTCTTCGGCAGGATGGTCGGGGAAACTCATCATGCGCCTGGCGGAAATGTGAGCCGTACGGGTCTCATATATAACTGGGCGGAAGCTGACCTCAGATGTCATCCATCATCCCTGAGATCCCCGTTGCCAGTCTGGAATGGGCATGCACTCGCCAAACTCTTCAGATGACAAACTCACTTGGTGCACTTGCATGAGAATATCCATGCCCATCCTGCTTCTTTTATGCTCTATTACGTCCTCAGGCATCTTTATAGTTCTAGCTTCGCAGAGCCGACCCATGGTACGTATGACCCATACCGGATTCCCCTCCTGAGTCCCACCTTCCAACTTAACAGTTTATAGGTCCCTCCATGGCTTGATTCTGTGGCCTCTGGCTGCCAGACCAGATTCCGTAGTACCAAGCCTGTGACGTATTGTCATTCATGCATCTGGTTTTGGTTTGGGAAGAAGTCTCAAAGAAGTCTCTATTCCAGGTAAGCGTGTGATCGAATCCCTAGGCTAAACAGCATATCACTGATGTCAACATCTTCATCTAGCTGTACAGGTGTCTGTTACTGTCCCTCTCCAGCTTTGCTTGTCAGTCGTGAATACAACACAAAAATAAGAGAAAGAACGTAGCACCTTGATACCCATGGCAGTGACTATGCATGAAATACTGTCTTGGGTGTCAATTGAATTATTGATGGCTGCATGTTCCGGCCGTCTGACGTCGGTTGACGTAAGGATGTAGTCAGCATGAAGTCTAGACTGCCATGTGTGATAGCGGAGGTTCTTGCGTGTCTTCACTTGGTAACGGCTTATCCTCTTTTAGAATCCGGATGATCGCCGTGTCTAGTATATTACTAGGGGTGATTTTGCTAGTACACCCATCCCATCCCTTGCACCATCATGGTCTGTACAGTGTCAACACCCTGTGACCTTCCTATCACTTGTCTATGCCTACACGGGAGTCTGCGATTCGCAGGCTGTTACACTCGTTGTTGGGTGGCTTACTATCACTCCCTCTTCCCGGGCATCCCTCCCCGCATGCTTCGCAGGCTTGCCCGCGCAGCCAGTTCTGCTGCATGGTCGCTATGTGATGTACCAGATCAATCTGTTGTCACTGGGGATGGTATCGAGTGGATATTTGGAGAGGACTTCTTTGTTCGAGGCATCTTGGGCCCTTTCATCGCTCACGACGGGACTTCAGCAGTCTATGCGGCCACATTATCGTATCTACACTGCGGTGACACTCGCATATACTTTGCCCCTCGCTTCCACATCGTCAAGGTCCCATTGATGGCGGCCGTCAAGTCCGACTGTTGCCGTGAACCTTGTACCTGCGCAGAGGTCAATCCGGACGCTGGAGATCTTGTCATGAAGATGTTCTTAACCCACGTCGTCGGTGACACCACCATCCCGGAATTCGCGGTACCTGCCGATGTCCAGATGCGCTTTGACGACGCTATTGAGAAGGCCATACCGCCGGCAGATTTCGAGGCTGGATTTGTCGAATGCAACGCAGAGGAAATGCACTTCGTGAAGGGAAGCTCGTGGACAATTCAGATGCCTCTCACTTCCATGTCCACAATGACCTCTCGTAAGTATCTGCTATTCAACGTCAGAGCGCTCCACGTTCTTACTTGACCTGGCAGCTGCGTCCTCAAGCCACCCGCGCTGCGGACTTCCACCAGGCCTCGTCATCACTGCGTGCCGCGATGCATACACGCGAGGGGAGCAAGATGAAGACGTGGCAGATCATGAAGGGTTTGTTGAGGGGGGCTGGCAAGCCATATGCAGCGACAACTCGGACGGGGAAGATTCATTGGCACTGTGTAGCAGATATTCTGTCGGAGATGTAGCAGCGTAAGAACCGACAAGCCCGTATCGAGCCTGAGTCAGAGTTTCTCGATCCGACCATCTGAGTACCAGACTGGCAGTCATGGCCTATGAGTGCAATCCTAAGTCGCGTACAACTGAACTCGGAAGTCCGGGCCGAAGGCATGACGTGATGCAACTGCGTGTCACTACGTCGTTCTATGTTGTCGCTCGCGTCTCTCATCTCGGTCTGAATCGCCCTCGCTGACCCTTTATCGGCCGTTATATCGCGAACACCACCTTCAGCTTGTGCTCGGACCGCCAACATGCGCTGTCTTTGGGGTCCCGCGTTACGGCGTATTTTCTACTACCGCACCTTCTGGAGCGCCGTAGCTATTGACGCGTTTCGCTTCGCTAGGCACCGACGTCCGTGGACCAGTTCGCCGTCGCGAGTGCTGATCGATGGCACCGCTTATTTGAATTTGCGTTTGTTCTGAAGAAGCGATCAGCGCTCGCTGCATGAACAGTGGACGTCCCTGCCGCATGTAGGGCGACGTCGCGTCTCTCACACGCTACGCGGTCCTGCCGCGAGAAAGATGGACGTCGCTGCCCTCGCACGACGCACGACCGGTACACTTTGGTGCTAGACCGTCTATGCGCGACACTCACATTGGCATCAGGTACTTTGAATGAATCGAATAAAAGTATCGATCTTCGTATGCCGGGTGCCCCAGACGCATGTGCTTGAGGCAGCATGGGTACCCAATCTCCTCACACCGTCGGCGATGGTGTCCCTAAGAAGGTACGTCTCCTGACGCATCTCATATACATGAAGTACTGACCCTCGTGAACCGGCGCAGGATCCTTACTACGGTCGGAAGTCGTTCGCCGATGTAGTCACTCGTTTCCTTGTGCACACGTTCGCCTGCACGGTCGATAACGAGGATCCGGACCTAAACCTCGACCGCTTCGTTGCATACGCTCTGTATCGAGCCAACTTGCTGGACGACATTGCTTGTGCTGGTCTTTTGTTCTTGCACCGCTTCAAGGCTTGGAATCCCGACAGCATTGGCATGTCCGGTCAACGGCTATTCATCACCGCATTCATGCTCGCAAACAAGGCGTTCTGTGATAGCGCGTATCGGACCAGCTCATGGTGCATCGTCTCGCAAGGGCTTTTCAACGCCCGTGAGATCAGTGAGATGGAACGCGATATGTGTTTTTACCTCCAATGGCGGTTTGTGGTCGACAACGTGAACTTCGCTCGGTTCATGCTATACCTCCGAGACAACTTCGCAGAGCCTACCTCGCCCGGCGCTTGGAGCATCGCGCCATATGTGGAGGTGGACCGCTTTATGGGGTTCCTGCCGTACCCTGTACCATGGTCACAGTATCCCGCGCCGCCATCCTACTCGATGCCGCCACTCTATGACGCGGCTCTGCTTGCCCGGTCCGACTCTAGTCAAACTGAGCGAGTACCCCCGTCACGCGGGAACTCGCAGCCAGTCACGACTGCAACGGAGACTGTCCAGTCGCCAACTTGGACCCAGCAAGCACCGTATCCCCTACTCGATGACCAACAACGCATGACAAGGAACTCGTCCGGGCAAGAGCGGGTTGCATTACCTTCACAACATACGGATGTGCCACTTTACAGTCCCGAGTCCATCCCCGGCTCCGACAGTCCATCTAGTTGTCAATTCTTCCCCCCTCCTCGATACTATATCCACCCAGCAGAGCCATACCCGCGCGCGTATTCGAGTTGTTAGTTCTCTCTGGCGAGTATAGCGATTGGCCTGTACTACTGGTAGACTATGTATGAGCAGGGTCTACTGGACGAACCGAGCAGCGAGTCTCGACTTTGTCGCGAGAGTTCTTGTTGTGATGAGTATTCGAGACGTGCTTCCGGTCCGACATTCGACCAGAATCCATTGATTGCACGGAAAATTGAAGATGGTGCGATAGATACAAACTATACAACCATCCGACGCAGTCCGTATAAACCCTCCACAAGTTCGGTCGTCGATTCAGCTTCCCATCCGTTACCAGTCCTGCAATCGTAGATGCAGGTTGTGTCCGGATACATCGCGAGCAGTAGTTCAACGATGTCGTTCGCGATGGGTTCGTCGCCCCCTTCGTCACTACCAAGTGACCATCCCGTCAAACCCCTCACCAAGCTCTCCCATATGCAACCTTCGGTGCCCAGACTCCATAAGCGCAACTCCTCGATGAATATGTGGAATTCGGCGGCCAGAGACAGGGTGTTATCTAGGAGTTGCGAGTTTTCCGTGTTGATCTATGATACCCGGTGAGCGCGGCAGCCAGTTGCAGATCCAAAGACCGCACTTGCCTCGAGTACCCTGATGTCATCTTCCGAGATATATGGTGACATATTGTGGTAGATCTCTTCCCACGTAGTCTGTAAGTAGCCTACGTCAGCGGAGGTTGTCTGGCATGCTGTATGCACTTACGACAGGTACATGGGATGACGAATACGAGATAAAGACGTCTACCGCGCCAGGTACGGCATGATACTTAGCGTGGGCTATCTCACTGGTATGAAGCAGTGCCTCCGTTTCGTCATACGCAGGGAGATCTGAAGCGATACGCGCGTCGGGACTGAGGAGAACGCCGCTCAGGTTGAATGAAGCCACCGCTGTGATGGAAGTGAAAGCGCGTCGCCGAAGTTCAAGTCCTGAAGCCGAGCTTGAGTCAGCTGAATCGTAGCGGACGCGTAAGGTACTCCACCTAAACTGAAATAGAACTGCTCGTCGTCGAACTCTGCGGTCGCCCGGTGACCAATATGGAAGGCGATATACGCTTCCGGTGGAAACGAAATGTAGTCGAGGACCCAAGTGCATTCCCTCTCGTTCGGACAACAGACCACCAGCTCTCGGAGGGAGGGTAGGTCGATCTGGGTGAAATAATCGTCCAACGTCTCGTGGCGAAGGGCCTCGATCAAATACAGTATCGTCAATGAGCTGTTCCGCACGATCAGATCGTGCACAAGGGCAGCCGGCCATTTGTTCCACGTTCGGGGACGGGGACGGTGATCTCTACGTCGACTCCTGCTGCTTAAATGCAGTTTGCTGAGCTTGGACGTATCCGGAAGGTGGACGATGAGGGTGCACAAGTGCAAATCGGTCAACTCCGGCGCTTCGATGACGGGGAGACCCGTCGTGAATATAGGGTCGAAAATGAATGGCAGTGGCCCCCACGCCTCCGGATCAGGGGTAGAGAGGACAAGTCTCTGTAGCATCGGAAAGTGGCGTTGACGGTGTAACCGGCGAAGAAGGTCCTCGTCGGTAAGTTTGTGTTCCACGATCAGAGAGCAGATGTTGCCAAAGGCAGTCCGTAGGAGAGTGGCATGAGGGATGTGCGGCGCGACTATCATTCGCTGTATGGTGTTGCAGTTGTCGAGATGAAGCTTGGCGGGCGTGTCGGTCCACCACGCACGCATACGAGCGACCATGAAGGACGCATGGTTCGTGGGCAGAGTTGTGACATCCGACCATAGTGCTTGAGAGGCGAAAATCAAGCAGCGAAACTTCCTGGAGGCATCGCGCAGACTTGCCCGAGCTTTGTGACCCGACAAAGATATCGCGTATAGGAATATATGATGATAGACCTCGAGTGGTAGTCGGCCGCCAGCCTTTCCCTTGGAATCCGCCATGGGTCCTAACACCTCGAGTAAATCCTTTGCACAAGCTAGTGTAGCAAAGAAATCGGGTTCGCTGTGACATCATCAGTGCTCATGATTATCAACGTGTCGTGTGCGAACGCACCTCTCGGGACGCCAATTACAAGACAGAGACCTTCGTATAAGCTCCGCAAGATCGCCTCCTGGCGAGAGCTCTCGAGCTTGGGGAACCGAGTTGTGATATGAGACGCGCGTAGCCATTCCAGAGCCCAGTGATTTGTTTAAGAAACGTGATCTAAAGCGCGAAGGCGGAAGGAAGCTGAGCGTGTGGTCACATACGACGCCAGCTATTTATGATTGATCGTAGTCTCTGGTCATTGACCTCCGAAGGTTGTGCCGGTACCGATGCTATGGATTCTTTACATTGCGTCGCTTGCGTGCAGAGGATGTTGACTTTACTACAGTCGCGTGCCAGACCGTCGTGCGCGCAAAGCTGTGATCAAGGTTCGCCGTGAGTGCGGCCGCCGCGCGCGGGTTGTGTTTAGAGCTTGACGGTATTCCCACTGCGCATCCGCATCAATCAGGCATGCGCCGACGTCGACGGCTCTCACATTATCCTTACAACGAGGCCGCACTGCCTGCTATGACCATATTCCTCTACCGCACCGATCGTCGCATAGACGGACGTTGCAATTTGCACTAGCGTGTGTGCCGGCGACGTCGAAACAACGCGTGTTTGGCTCTGGATGTTCTGGATTGGACCGTGTCTCGCAGCGTGCGCGTTTCACGATAGAGCTGGAGTAGTTGCGGTATAAAAGGTGTTTTGATGTTTCAGAGACATGCAGCTAGTCGATGTCTATGGCGCAGAACCAGCCTGTAAGCGACACTTTGCGATACCAATCCTTCATGCATTCCCCTGAGATCGCTGACGCCTCGATGCAGGAAGAAGTCAACGCCGTACTCGTGTACACAACCGACGACCTCGGCTACGTATGCGATCCTCTCAAGAATCGCGACCAACTGCGTGAACACCTCTACGAATATTGCCTAAGCACCGGTGACGATAAGCGGTTTCGGCAAGGCGAACTCGCAGACGTCTTCAACACGCCTCATTACAAGAGAGTCTGTTCATTCTTTCCCCGCGATCCTATGGTGCTGGACTGGTACTACACCGTGTACACCCGCAAATCGAGCAAGGGATCCTTCAATGCAGTGGCGGCTATGGTCTGTGAAGCGCAATCTCCGATGGGCGAGGCGGTGATCGTGAAGGATTGTCCGGCAGACAAGTGGGATGTTCTGAACACCGAGATAGACGCGGATGAGCTGGCCAAGACGTTATGGTTTTACCACAAAAGCGGCACGTCTGCTGAGGCAGACTTTGCCGAAAGGACTCTCCTCCGCATGTTGGTTTCATAGATCATGAAACATGTATCCTCGCGTAGAGTCGACGTTCTAAAGATCACCTTTGTGCTGTGCCTGCCTCCAACCTCCCGGCTCCCCAGAAACACCTATAAGTACTTGGCCATGGAAACAAACATCGTCAGCGTTCCATCGGTTAACCTCAGATAGATGGCTACTGCATACTACACATCTTCTTCTGCCCCAAGACAGACCGGCTCCGTCCTACCTCATTCACCACGCAGACACGAGATCGGGTGGGATTCCACGATGGTGCGTCTCCTGGCCCGTACCATCTTCCTTGTGACTAATTAAGTACCATTCGTAGTTTTCCACCAACCTCGTTGCCTTACACGTCCCATGCGACGGGCCAGCACGCTGGACGCACGCTCCAGTTGTCCATTTCAACATGGATGATGGCATGACCATGGTAGTTTGGCGTCAATTCTGGGAAGACAGGGCTGAGACAACCTCGGTGACCCTTCCAAACGGGCGCAAATATCTTGTCGTGACCCCCTATGATCGCGAAAGCTACCAAGTTTGTAACGCCGTCGAGCAGAGACTTGGCTTCACTTGGTGCGGGGAGTTGTTGGTGTTTGCCTGCTCCGTCAGCAACGGTTTGCTGGTCAACATGCGGACCTGGAAAGAGGACAGGGATCGCGCATGGGAAGTCATCAGACGGTACGTACGAGTCAATCCCTGTCTGCCCTCGAACCAGCTGACAAAGATGACCCAGGTTCATCGTAGGAGACGTAGATGGAGACATGGAAGTCTCAGAAGGATACAGTGATCATTTAATCGAACTTGATCCCCCCAGCAGCGAGTGGGATGGGACTACAGACAACGAAGACATGGTCGCTGAAATGGACGAGCAGGACAGTGAATCTGATGGCACTCGTTCTTAACTTGGATGTGTCATGATCTCACTGGTAGTATTACTTTACACATCATACTATTGCATTACAGTGGAGAGTCGCCAGGACTCAACGACATTTTATTGAGAGAAAAAGGGGTCCCTCAGTAATCGGACCAATTGTGTAAGGAATCACATGCTTAAGCCACCGGGACCAGGGACGCCTGGAAGGCCGTCACTTTACTGCATGGCCGATAAAAAGCGAGAGAGCCCCAGTGGTGCCCCGGAGGGGCTGTATGGTATGTTAGCTCGTGCGCCGGATAACGAACCACCACCATGCCGAACTTTCCCACGCTCAGCTCGGTCATAGAATCTGTCTGTGATCTCATACACGACCTGCCTGCCTCTGTGGCTAAGAATCCTCCAAAAACTCGAACTATACCAACCACCACGATCGAAAAACTACGCACGCTCGGCCGCGAGCTCAGTAGAACTCTCGCCGAAACCGACATCACACCCCTCCTGGCCCCGGCTCCCTCAGAGCTATCTGCCATCAAGGCACAATTAGACGAACTCACTCACAAAGTCGACAACATCACTACTCTCCCCATCCCTATCCGTACTTCGGGCCAGGAGCCCCCCCGCCCTGCGACTGCCAGCGCATCGCCGCACGACAATCACGTGACCGCGCCTTCGGCGCAGCGCCGCGACGCGTCTCTCGACATTGTCGTCACACCGAAAGTCGCTTCACCCCCGACACTTCTCGAGGAAGCACCAAAGTCGATTCTGAAGCGACTTAACGATCGTATCCGTCGCCACCGCACCCTAAAGGATCTCTGCCAGCTAGAGGATGGCTTCACCGCTCCAGTCTTTCGGGCTGTTATGCCACAAGCTGACGGGTCACTCCGTCTACTGGTCTGCACTCAAACACAGCGCTGCGTACTTGTCGCTCAGACCGACTCATGGCTGAAGCAATGCTTACCCACCCATCAATTCTCGTACGGTCCTCGCCCACGGGGTCACACTGTGGTTGTACATGGTGTACCCACTTCAGCCTTCAACCCTCGAGAGTCGAAGGATGAAGAGCGACTACTTGCCCAAAATGCACACGCCCTCAATCCCGATACTCTGCTCAATATCCACTGGCTCAGCCACCAACCGCTCGAGGCTCTACGTGCAGCCAAATCGCACTCGTCCCTCGTCTTTCACGTCACATCCCCCGACATTGCCGAACAACTCGTTGCTTCTCGTATCTCGATTGATGGGGCCCTTCTTCGCACCGAACATATCGTGCTGCGCCCATCGAAATGCTTCAATTGCTTCCGCATTGGCCATATCGCTGCCCACTGCCACTACCCATCAGCCTGTGGTATCTGTGCAGGGCCCCACCGTACTCTTGAAGGGTGTCCATGCTCCCGCAACTCCGAACCCTGCACGGACCTCGACAAATGCACGCACAAGCGCCTTAAGTGTGCCACCCCAGGTTGTGCAGGACAGCACCATGCGATGGACCCCAGATGTCCAATGACAATCTAATGCCTGCAATTTGACAATGGGCGAGCGAACCACAAACAGCACCAGCACACCATGCGCTACGAACGACCTTCCAATGATAGCCCATAACTTTACACTGCTTGCAGGGCAAGCATCCATATGGTCACCCAG